GCTCAGGTACTTAATCATGCTGGTTCCAATTTTATAACTGTGCACAGTTGGAATGTTTCAGATTTATAATTATTTTTGTAGTGTTTGTCTCTGGAATGTGATTGACCCAAATGGATTTAGACTACAGTTTTATTAATCTTTCCAACCTGTGTGAAAGATTGAGAAAATTTAAGTCTTGAACAGAACATTTGAATTTGGCACAAAGTTAAACATAAGTGACAGAGTTTGGCAACTTATGCCACAATTAAATTGATGTGAACTGTGATAATTGAGTGGTGGTAGTGGTTTTGGCATTTCACTGCCTTCCTCATCAATTAGTCGTTGGTAGTATAAAACTTCTATTAGAGCATATTGATTGTTAGTGCATATGGTGTAATTGGCAATTTCCTACCGCAAACCTTTGTAACCGTAATTTCAACTTTGTCACTGATTTAGAAGTTTCCTTGTTTCTCAGGGCTATGGTATGACAGAAACCTGTGGAATCGCTTCAGTGGAGAATACGCTAGTAGGGCCTCGGCATACTGGTTCAACTGGCATGCTTGTTTCAGGAGTTGAATGTCAGATAGTCAGTGTAGACACCCTGAAGCCTCAGCCTCCTAATAAGTTGGGAGAGATATGGGTTAGGGGGCCTAATATGATGAGTGGTAAGTGTTTTTTTCATTTTCATGTATTTAACAATCATGATGGTCCTGCAAATTCAATTGCCAGAAGAATTTTTATGAGAGGCTAACTCATATTCGAAATGGTAACAACTCAACAAAACTTGAGGTACCTAGATCCTTAATGGGAAATTCTGCAATAGAAAATTGGTCAAAATTTTTATAGCTTCCAATCAGGATTTGATGACAAGTCTAAGAATTTGAACTTTTAAGTGTCAAAGAAAACCTTTTACCCTTGGTACAGGTGTGATTAACCGTCGATGCGCAGTAGAAAACTCAAATAGGTCAGTTTAGGTGATTCTATCAAATCTGATTCCAGATATTGGCCATGGAGGTAGTCTGTCAAACTAAAAACTTGTTAAAGTAGCCTCATAGTTCTCATTATTTATATAAGATGCAGAGCTCTTCTACTGTTGCTTTCTCCATCTCAAGGAGGGCATTGCATTTTCCATATACTAGCGGCTTAAATGAGCATTGGAGACTCTTCTCCACATGGATCTTGCTCTCGTCCCTCAAAATACTTGGATGTGGAGCGTTTCTAAAGTGAAAATTTAAGTTGGGTCTGCCGGATGTAACTAAACACTATGCCATTACAACAATAACAGAAGCAGGGATTGAGAGCATTGTTTGGGCAGTCACCTCAAGATACATCGATATATGCATATGATGCAAAGTTCTAACTGAGGAACTATTTTTACAAAACTCATTTCAGGGTATTTCAACAACCCACAGGCCACCAACGAGACAATAGATAGAAATGGTTGGGTACATACGGGAGATCTTGGATACTTTGATGAAGATGGACAACTTTATGTAGTCGATCGAATCAAAGAGCTCATTAAGTATAAAGGCTTTCAGGTAATTTCTCTTGGTAAAGTTTGAATAATTAATGCTCAAAATTTCAACTGGTATTCTTGGTTCTTATGTTCACTATAACCAAAATTTCGGCGACAAAAAAAGAAGCTGTTTTGTCCTTTTGGAAAGATACATCAATGTATCTATATAATAGCAATATCTCCTGTCATTTGGTTAATCTTCATAATTTGAAATAAGGCAATTTATCAGGCCAGAAATTAGAATAACTCTTCTCATGTTTGTTTTTATTAGTACACGTCCTATACATAAAAGAAACACACTTGCATTTTAGTGTTGGCTGATTACTTTTTAGATAGAGCAGATTTCAGCATGCCTATACCTGGCCCTGATATCCGTAGGTCCAGAAGATATATGCAGGTTTTTCACTTAATATTTCCTGACTTTGTTTATACGCTTATACTTATTTCTGTTATATTTATTAGGAAAGAAACCTAATTTTGAGTGTCAAACAAATATTCTAGCTATTTCTATTGCATAATAAACATTGATCCCATGCTTATGTGCCTTCAAATTTTGCTTGTCACTGCAACTAGAATATTTGGTCAATATGATGGATGTTAATGTTGTCAGATTTAGATTAACAATTACTTATTATCTTTCTGGTTGTTGTTGGAATGCTTATGTATGCTCCATACTTCCACTATTCTATTGAATCATGTTTTGTTTGCTTTGTTTCTCCTTTGCTAGGTGGCACCAGCAGAACTTGAAGGGCTGCTAGTTTCTCACCCTGAAATATTAGATGCTGTTGTCATTCCGTAAGTTTGACACAAACAGAATTTGCACTGATGATGGCCTCATCTTAAGATTTAACTAAATGATCGGATTATTTCCATCCTACAGGTTTCCTGATGCCGAAGCTGGTGAGGTTCCGGTTGCATATTGTGTACGCACTCCAAACAGCTCACTGACTGAAGAAGATGTCAAGACTTTTATAGCTAATCAAGTAAGTAGAGAATTTACAAGGAAGGATTATTATCAGGGACCTGAACTGATTTCCTTGATGCAAAAATTGCTCTTGTTTTTGCACTCACAATTCGTTTCGTGACAGGTTGCACCTTTCAAAAGACTACGAAGAGTAACATTCATAAACAGTGTCCCCAAGTCAGCATCAGGAAAAATCCTAAGAAGAGAGCTCATTGATAAAGTACGGTCCAAGATATGAGATTGATGGGTCCTCATTCTAATGTTTGCTTTGGTAAGGCAGACTAGCCAGCAGGGAACACAGCATGTTCCTTGCACACGCTTTAAAGTTGCAGGTATCTTAAGGTATTCAGTTTGGTTGCCATTCTTTTTCTGGAAGAAGGGCAGGATGTAGCTCGAAATACAAATAATGTAGGATTCTGTTCAACATCTGAGCAATAAGTCTTTGCATTAAAATTATAAGAGCATTTTCATTATGTTCAAATAGCAACTCTCAATTTACATAAAACAATAGATAGCAATAAGTCTTTGGGTGGTTTCTTATAGCAATGTCTTTATGTATTGTTGAATTCTTTATTGCTCAAACCGGCCAAAGCCAATCCGAGCAGTTTGACTAAATGTGTAATCTTGGATTGAATTTAATCAAACTGCAATTATTTCGTCTCTATTCGCTTTGGCCTATTATATTTTACACTAGACATTTTCTTATTGGTTTTAACCATTGCTATTACGTTTCATTTAACAAAATGGTATCAACCACGTGATCCAAAAAACTAATCCATAAACCATTCGAATTTGATATCAACATTTCAGTGGTAAGCAATATTTCAATTATTGTTCAATTTACAGTATGATTTTCCCTTCGATATATGCAAGATAATATAAAATATAAAAAACGCAATACGGCAAATGATCCAATAATGTAGTGCTTTGGAGCAATTGCTCCTTCAGAAAAGGTCCTAAATTTGAGTCGTAGCATATATGTAATGTGTGTGAGTATAGTATGTTATCACCCCTCTAAATAGGAAAGGTCTTCATAAAAAAAATAAAATAAAAATCAACCAGATAATACCAAAAATATACCCATAAAACTATTGCAAAGGACCCACTAATATAGTGGTTTGGAGCAATTGCTCCCTCATGCAAGGTCTTGGGTTTGAGTCCTAGCATCCATATAGTGTATGTGTGAATTTAATAATATTATCACTCCACTCAATAGGAAAGACATAATAATTTTTTTCAAGTATTGTTCAATTTAAGGTAGAATGTTCTCTTTAACATGTATAAGATAATATAAAATATCAACTTAATTGCTCATAAAAGGGAAATGAACGAACCAAACTAGTCACTAAAGGGATTAGTTTGGTTTGATTATGCTACTAGTTTGACGTTTAAATTAGATTTGACAAATGAGTCGTGTTTTGTTGGCCCGACTCATTTAAATTTGTGCTACTAAGTTATTTAGGCCAGCCGATTTAATTGGGTCGTACCGTGCTAGCCCATTTATCAAACCCATTGATCCCATCCCGACCCAAAGCCCAAGTCCACATTAAACTGGAGCGTGCTTGTGCCGTGTTTGGGGCATTTAACTTGAATTTCTTTTTTGTGAGTAATCAATGAGTAATATTACAAGTAAAATTTGGCCAAAACATACAATTCCCAAAAACTCCCAAAATTCTTATATAAGGAACAGTCCCAAAAAAGAAGATATATATATATATATATATATATAGAGAGAGAGAGAGACTATGCGGACATCCGTACGTTATTATCGTGTGGATGCCATGTATTTTGTATTACTCCTCATTGCTTTCCTTCATGTTTACAATAGAATCCGCACGATAATAACTTGTGGACATCCAAATAAGAGAATAATTTATATATAGAAATTCTCCTAAGGGGACATCTATAAGTTATTATTGCCTAGATGCCATGCATTTTGTACTACTCATCCTTGCTTTCCTCCCTGTCTACAATAGCATCCACACGATAATAACATGCTGACATCCGAATAAGATCAACTAGAGCAACAACTAAACAACAATAATTATGCAAGGATGGTACATTGGCGGAGCCAGAATTTCATATTAGAGGGGGCCCTTCACAAAATTTTAAAAAATAATTATAGGGTTCTTGTGTTATTCAATGGCTCAAGCTCTTATCGGTTAATTAGTTAATACTACATTAACTACTTGTTTTGGCCCTCTTCATACTATCATTTCATATTGATTAGTAATATATTCATTCATCACAATCATATAATTGTTTTGAATTTCAAATTTAAAAATGATAGAAGTTTAATCTCATCATCTACACTATTCAGACTCGTAAGAAATATAAAAAAATGTTCATAAATCCCAAAGTTAAACAAAAGAGGAAGATAAAGATTTTTTAAACATTACGAAGAAAACACAAGCTACAAGAGAAAGAAACCAAAGCAAAAGCATAAAAGCCAACAAGAACTAAAAGCTATTGGGGGGAATTAGATCAACCAGAGAAACAAATGACCCAAAACACCCAATTCGTGTATGCATATATATATATATACATACATATATATCTGGTCCTTTGTTAAGAAAGGGCATGGGACCACCCTGGTCCTTAGGTGGCTCTGCCATTATATTGGTGGGGTATAGCTCAGTTGGATGAGCTCTTTCATCTCCATCAATGTGGGCAAAAACCCCAAAGAAAAATTGTAGAATGATACAGTATCACCATGTCAACTTGTGATACTCTCATTCATAATTTGCCACATGTCTAAGTTTTTACAAGCTGAATTTTACCCTTATTTTTATCTTTAAAATTTGAAAACTTGAAAGGAAAAAAAAAAACAAAAACAAAAACCAAGCAATCACTTTCCTGAACGACAACTCAACACCCTAACTGCCTGCCATGGAAATCTATAAGAAGATTTTAGACTTTTTGACCTTTGAATATGTTCTTGGCCTTGCAAGGCCATAAAGGGTTCAACATATCCCTTAAAACCATAAATCCACCTCCTCCCAGATCCTCAATATATTTCGTTTAGATTGAGAGAGAGGCCTAGGTGTAATTATAAGGTTTGCTAGATTCTCAAGCATCCTTTTCATGTTTAAGGTTGTATTGAGAAATTGAGGTGAATAAATATGAAATATGGGAATAAACAAAGATGAGCGACATCCACAACATGCAATGAGGGTGAAGGGCATTCTTTGCGAGGAAGCTTGTTAACTAGGGCTGCTCATTTTTCCTTTATTTATTTATTTATAATAGTTCTTTTATTTTTTTAAATGTAAAAATAGATTTTTAAATCCAGTGATATAAAAAGTTTTTTTTAATTTTTTTATAATAATATAACACGTGACAAATTTTAGATGAAAGTATCACGAGGTGATGTGGTGATACCTATATTAATTCTTGATAAACGTGCACTAGTATTAAGCTCTTGCTGTAAAAACAACCATGCAAATAATTTAACTTTTGGAAGTAATTTTAATTTCTAGATTTTATTCAAATATGATTCTATTGCAATTGTGTTGCCAATTTAACGGTAAAAATTCTAATGAGAGAAGAATGCTGATACCATACAATTCTATAATTTCTTCATAAGAAAGAGAAATATATTCATTAATGATAAACGTGCCCTAAGTATTGAGCTCTTGCAGTAAAAACAACATGCAAATAATTTAACTTTTGGAAGTAGTTTTAATTTCTAGATTTTACTCAAATATGATTCTATTGCAATTATGTTGCCAATTTAACGGTAAAAATTCTAATGAGAGAAGAACCCATATAAAACAATCATAAGTATCATGTAACGGTAAAAAACAGAAAATCCCAATTAAAAACTCCAAAATTTAATATGAGTACCATCTCCCACAATCCATCGAATCTTCTTTAAAAGAATTTCTCATACACTTAAAAATACCTTAGCTATGTTTTTGAGTTAAAAATTTCAACCTAACTTAGCTAAACAGTTTTATTAAAATGTTCCAAATTCCAAAATCCCAAACCACCAAACTTTTTACCTGTAATCAAGCTATAAGTGGATGATTACATAATCCCCAAAAGAATTTACGTGCCACAATATCGATTTCTTTACTTGTTTTCGTGCCAAGTTGTTACACAAGTTTATCTCTTCACTTGTCATATATGTATTCTCTTCTCTTCACTTGTCATCAATTGGTCAAAGAAGTTGGTCACTTTAAGTTCGTACCCAAGTTTGCACCGTAAAGGGAGTGGTTAGAACATTGCCTAGTTTTAGTGATTGGATTTCAATAAAAACTCACCAAATGCCTCATCTAACCACATTATGATGTTGCCCCAGTTTTGGACTCGATCCAAAATCAATTGGTCAATCAAGTTGGACACTTTAAGTTCGTACCGTAAAGGGAGTGGTTGGAACATTGCATAGTTTTATTAATTGGATTTCAATAAAAACTCACCAAATGACTCCTCCCATCATATTATGATGTTGCCCATGTTTTGGGCTCAATCTGAAATCAATTGGTCAAAAAAGTTGGTCACTTTAAGTCTGTGCCCAAGTTCGTATGGTAAAGAGAGTACTGGAAGATTGCATAGTTTTATTAATTGAATTTTACTAAATACTCACCTAAAGACTCCTCCCACCATATTATGATATGGTCTAAGTTTTAGGCTCGATCCGAAATCAATTGATCAATGAAGTTGGACACTTTAAATTCGTACCATAGAAGGAGTGGAACGAACTTAAAGTACCACTCCCTCTACTTAATTAGTTGAGAAGAGAAATCCTTGATCAATTGGTCATCTACTTCATTTTGCATGGAACTCGTTCTCAAATATGAGGGCATGTCGACCACGATCTCATTTTACCACTATCAACTACCCAGGTGGGGTGACGGTGGGTGGATAGTCGCTGATTAGGGTTGCCTAGCCAGTTTTTTATTTATTTTTTAAATAATCAAAATGAAGAAGAAATGCTTCGTTGCCTTCGGAGTAGTGGGCTAGTGGAAAGTCGGAGTGTCATTAGTAAAGTTTAACCTTGGTGTTTATAGTTGTTTTTAGAAACTCAACCCAATAGTAGGGACGTTGAAAGTGACATTCTTATGAGTTGCAAACCCACAAGATTTAAAGAACTTTTTCAAAAAAATTTCAAACCCACAAGATTTTAAGAACTTTTTGAAAAATTTCTTCCAAATGACATATTTTGATCATTGGCAAGTGCTCGACCCCAATTCGTAACTATCCATTCACCGTCACACCATACGGGGCGAGAGTGGGTGAATGGTGTGCTTCCCGAGGTTGACATAGACAATCTTTTGCATGTGAAGAAATGTCTATGCCAATCCCGAGACGCACACCATTCACCCACCGTGTGGGTGACGATGGGTTGGCTTCATATGAACTTTAGCTTGGGGTTGTCCTCGGTTATGCTTTTATGTTGGGAGTACGACACATGATTTCTACTAACTACTCGAGGAAATATAAAATTACAACCCTTTTTTGGATTTTTGGTTCGGGTAGGAATTAATTTGAAACGGAAATAACCCCTTGTGGGCGGAGGGAGGGTGCGTAGTGTAAGCCCTAAACACAATGGGCGTATCTTAACACAATGCATGTATGTGTCTATTTCTTTAAACTCAGTTGGCCTTCGTAACAACAACAATACACATAGTTGTAGTTTTCTTTTTCATGCGTGGGTGCGTT